ATGTCAGGTTTCCTGATTTATTTGATTTTCCTTCCAGTCAAGGGTAATAGGTTCTTTATTATTATTTTTTAAATATTTCAAAGGAAAAAAGAAATACAACTTTTTTTTTACAAATGTTTATATGAATTATGAAGTAAAAACAAAATATATATGCATGGAGATGTTTTATAAAATGAAAAATTAATTACCAAAAAATACAGGAACACTGTCAGCATCTCTAAAGATAAGTAAAAGCTTTCAAATTTGTAATTATCAGGTGATAAAGCCAATATGTCTGTAAAATAAAACCAGAATACAATATTTGACACACAAAGTCCATGCTAATCTGTGATCAGCTCATCTGTCATGTAAACTAGCAGTTGCCATATCTGTTTGTGTCGTATCTGACTGGGGGTCTTTTTCTGGACCAGCTCTCGCTCACAGCTCCTTCATCACTATTGGATGTGGAGGACCAGCGGGGGGAGTAAGGAGGGAGGGCAACAGGAGCAGCTCTTCCTAAGTGGCTGGGGGGGCGCCGCTCTGACTGCAAATACATAGAGTGTCCAGACCAGGCCTCCACTAAATAGGGGGGTCTCCTCCATGAACATTCTCCTCCTCCTCCTCCTCCTCCTCTTCCTCTTCCTCCTCCTCCTCCTCCTCTTCTATCATCACTGGCCCATCTGTATGGATTAAATGGTTGAGGATGGTGGAAGGGAGGCTGGGTGAGGACTGGAGGGCGGGGGAAGAGACCTTGGTGAGAAGGTTGTAATAATCCTCGAGGAGAAGATGACCTGCAGGACAAACGGCAGAAAACAGAAAACCACTGTTAAAAATACAGTATTTTAGGTGATACACACTTTCATAATTTACACAACACATGCTGGAATGTTTTAATCCTTTAAAACCAATCTGTCTCGATTTAAAACATTTTAACCCGTTCTTCTGTTTAAATATTTTGCAGCATTTTTATCAATATTGTGAGTCATGTCACTGACTTAATAATGGCAGCATTTATACCACTTAATATTATTACTTATTAGAATGAACTTATTTAATATTTTTTAGCTTGATAATACACTTTTTTATCTTGTCTATATATTTTAATTACCATCTTTTATGCCATTTGGCTCAGATCATTTTATGCTAAGAAATGATGGCTCTGGAGCAGTTTGTCAAATCTTTAAAATAACTTTACGCACAATCTCATGTGATTTGTTAGCCCTCAGAGAATGTATTGTTAATGAGCTACTGCTACGTCCAATTTTAATATCAATTTCTGTTACACTGACACTGTGTCAGCCATCTAGAATTGGGTTCACTTCAAAACCTAATTGGCAACAGGCAATTATGATGATGAAGAAAAAATATTAAACCAATTATTAATTAATATGTATATTAGTGTATTTTGATATTTTAATTATCTTGGGCTATTTTCATTCATTTTTTTTTTTTACGTTATTGGATTACTTTATCCTACACACTGATGAGCCTCTGATAAAAGCCTAACAGCACATTAGGATTTACTGTACTGGACATATATGTTAGACCAATTTCTGGATGGTAATAGTCAAGTTTAGTTCAGCTAATCGCTCTCTCACAGGGTTGAACGTTAAAACGGTATATTCTCGGTGCAGAGCACACAGAGGCTGCTCAGAAATAGAGTTATGAAAAACTTTTTTTAAGATCTTGGGTAAAAGTTAAGTGACAGAAAGGGCCATTCATTTTCTGTTTTTAATTACCTGTGGTGTTCAGGGCCATTTAAGTGAGGTCTGGGGTCCGGTGCAGAGAAAACTGGCCGATGGACAGCTTCTCCTCTTACTGGCTCCTGCTCACATGTTGTGATGTTTTTGTTACTGTTGGAAAATATTAATGAACATATGACCATCAGTCACACAACAACAGACTGGTAGCACTCACAGTCATCCTAGAAAGATGCATCATAGTATAAAGATGAATTCCAGGTTTTTGATTGATTTTTATTTACTTTAGACAATAAGCTGTTTTAAAACATTTGTTCGACAAAGCATAAAGCAAAATGCAAAAAACCACTGAGACAAAGTTGAAAGTGGGTGTAATATGGTGCAGAAAGCCACTGGCATCACAGAAGGATGGAGGGTCCCAGGAGGTTAGGAGTAATATTATAACAAATATGAATTTAAGAGACAGGACAAGCTTCCATGAGTTGATTAACGACTGTGTTGTTCTCAATTAGTCGATATCAGCTGTTGAATGCTCAACTGAGTGTTATCTGCTTCATTGAGAATGTCATTCTCAATGAAGCAGATAAAAGGCCTGGAGTTGATTTGAGGAGTGGTGCTTGCATTTGGAAGGTTTTGCTGTGAAGTAAACGTGATCAAAGGAGCTCTCCATGCAGGTGAAACAAACCATCCTTAAGCTGCAAAAACAGAAAAAACCCATCCGAGAAATTGCTACAATATTAGGAGTGGCAAAAATCTACAGTTTGGTCCATCCTGAGAATGAAAGAAAGCACTGGTGAACTCATCAATGCAGAAAGACATCAGTGGTGGATGATGGCAGAATAATCTCCACGGTGAAGAGAAACCCCTTCACAACAGCCAACCAAGTGAACAACACTCTCCAGGAGGTAGACGTATCAATATCCAAATCTGCCAGAAAGAGAAGACTGCTTGAAAGTAAATACAGAGGGTTCACTGCACGCTGCAAGCCACTCATAAGCATCAAGAATAAAAAGGCTAGACTGGACTTTGCTAAAAAACATCTAAAAGCCAGCAGAGTTCTGGAAGATCAAGATCAACCTCTACCAGAATGATGGAAAGAGAAAAGTCTGGTGAAGGCGTGGTACAGCTCATGATCCAAAGCACCACATCATCTGTAAAACACAGCAGAGCAGTGTGATGGCTTGGGCATGCATGGCTGCCAGTGGCACTGGGTCACTAGTGTTTATTGATGATGTGACACAGGACAGAAGCAGCTGAATGAATTCTGAGGTATTCAGAGTCATACTGTGTGCTCAGATCCAGACAAATGCAGCCAAACTGATTGGTCATTGTTTCATACTACAGATGGACAATGACCCAAAACATAAAGCCAAAGCAACCCAGGAGTTTATTAAAGCAAAGAAGTGGAATATTCTTGAATGGCCAAGTCAGTCACCTGATCTCWACCCAATTGAGCATTTCACTTGTTAAAGACTAAACTTCAGACAGAAAGGCCCACAAACAAACAGCAACTGAAAACCAGCAGTGAAGGCCTGACGGAGCATTAAAAAGGAGGAAACAGTGTCTGGTGATGTCCATGAGTTCAAGACTTCGGGCAGTCATTGTCAACAAAGGCTTTTCAACCAAGTACTAGAAATGAACAGTTTATTTACAATATTTAATCTGTCCAATTACTTTTTGAGCCCCTGAAATGAAGGGATTATGTTTAAAAAATGCTTTAGTTCCTCACAACATTTTATCCAACCAACTGAATAAAGCTGAGTCTGAACTTCAGCTGCATCTGAAATGTTTTGTACAAAATTTATTGTGGTCATTTACAGAACCAAAGTAAGGAAAATGTCTGTCGAATAGATACAAACCTTACTGTACCTTCTGATGGTGACTTACCTCAAACTGTAACAGTTGATAATTTTACCTGAGAATAGCACAATCACTACTCAACTCCATCAAGCTTGTACTTTCTTTTAGTAAATTCATTTTCATATTAAAAAAAAACATTATGGTACATTTACCTTTAAAGTACAAAATGGGCTTCCAGCAATACATTTTATTATATTCACCATAGACCTGTTGTCCTTTTATTAGAGAGGATAGCTTAGATTTGATAAATATTATACAGTTAAGAGTCTTTCAATTTACTTCAACTGAATACCAAAATACAGTATGTTTTTCTTCACGTTTAAAAATCTTGCATAATGTCAAATTATCATTTTCATTTGGGTAAACACAGACGAGTCCAAATAAATTTTTGTTTACATGTAGAAAATAGTTAATATTTATAACTATAGGACTATTAGACTGATTAGATTGTGATTTGTGATTCTCAAAGTTCAAACTGTTTTCATTTCTATCTTATTAGTTTGACGTGTAAAGCTGGTTTGTTACTCATTACAAGTTAAAATACTATAAATCTTTGTCCAAACTTAAACAGAACTGTATAATTCACAAGCATAAACAATATAATTTCCTGTCTCACCTTCTCTTTGGGCCATGCTTTAGGTCGTCCAGGTAATTTTGTCTCTCTATAGCATGCCCTCGTGATGAGTTGAACACTGGGAACAAAACAGAAGTTTGAGAGTTTGGTTTAAACACTGCAGGAAACGTTCAAATAAGAGACTTACGCCCCACTGCCTTTTCAGGGTCCATCCCATCCACATCAATCAGATACCTGCAGGTAACAAAAGGTTGTTAAACTACACTGAGGAGTCCAGCTCGTCCTACAGATGCCAGCCTGTATGTACCTGCTTATCAAGTAGCCGGTGCGGTTCACCCCGTGAGTACAGTGGACTCCAATCAGCATATCTGGAGGAGAGGAGAGTCAGTGCATAAAAACGTGTATCAGGAGTGGCGTTCCTACCGTTTACCTGTGGATTCTTTACTGAAACCTGTGTGGCTGACAGGGTTTCACACTAAAGAGGGTTTGAACACGTCAGAACAGGAGGGGAGGATTCACAGCTCCTTCTTAAATGTGTGTGAAGTATCAGTCAGTTCCACTCTCACCATTATCCTTGTTGTCTTGGAGAAATCTGTGCACAACTCGCTTGAAGCTAAGGATTGTTTGGTCACTGGGAACCTCGTGACCGGCTGTGAAGATCTTCACCCACAGCAGCGATTGTGGAATGTCCTACACACACACACACACAGACACACAAACGGGAAAACAACTGAAAATTACCAATCATGCTAACTAAATAAAAAGTAACTTTAAAAATCTTTTTATTTTCAATTCTTGGGTTTTTCTTATATTATACTTTAACTGAAAACGGTAAAGAGATTTATTACCAACAAATTATCACTGAGGAAAAAAACCAATTCAATTCTGTCATTCCTCCACATGAGATGATTTTATTTTAAAGCTTTGGCAATGAAGGAAGTGAGAGATTCTTTCAAAGAATGCTAGACTTGTTTTTAACTAAGAAATCAAAACCTATGATCACTGTGGTGTCTGTGCCATTACTTTTTTATTATACAGTACTATTAAAATTCAAAACACAACAATGCTCTGGTTTCTTCATTACCTTGATATAGAATATTTTTTCTTTCCACAGCCATTTAGTCCTGCATTGATTGACAGAGACTTCCTTTGTTTCATTCAATATAATGTGGTTTAATTTAAATAAACTATGCTTTAAAGAAATTACATAAACTGAGAAAATCAGGGTTGTCTTTACTTATTCACCACTGACTCCTAATTCTTATTCTGGTTGTGCTTTCTTTGATTTATTTATTTATATATAGTTTTTGGTTAGATATTAATAATTGATACTAAATTATGTTAATTACAATATCATAATACTCTCATTTTTACTTCTAAAATTTTCATCTAGGATCTCCCTAGGAAACAAGAGTTAGTCTGGGATCATTATTTTGTCTTTATCCTAAAACTAGTATTTTGGAGGGTTACAGGTTTAAAATCCTAATATGTGAGCATAGTTGTGTTTATTAACCATATGTAAGAAAGAAACCTAACCTGTCATGTTGCACATCCCACAAAACCACTCTATTTGCAACATGGTGCAAGTAAAGTGGTTCCAAGCTTGGTGGAAAATGTTTTTGCCATCTATTTAATAGGGGTGTAAGAAAATATCGATACACTGAAATATCGCGATATTTCATTTCCCGATACTGTATCGATATTCTAAATCCCTGTATCGATTTTTTAATTAAGGTTTAAAATGTCAGCTTTCCTGCCAGCCGTTCATTTTTATGTTGTAGTTCAGCCTCTGACCACTAGTTGGCAGCAGTGAGCCAGCCATTTGGCTCCTCTACCTCTTGAGGTAGAGGCTATAGTTAAGTGTTGGGTGACCATATTGTAAATTAATATTAAAAACTAAAAGCTGCAAAAAATACATTTTCAAACTATTTATTGGCAAAATGTAGTCTAATACTTGAAAAAATGGATAAAATAAGAAATATGAAACAAATAAAATAATAATAATAAATAAATAATAAATAATAATAAAATTAAATACATACAAAGCAGAACACAGCTAAATGTATCAAAAGTATGTGTATGTGATATTAAAATTTTCTGAGACAATGAATTTTGGTTTTTCATTTTTTTTCAGTAAGAGGTTTTTATTTAATAGAATTTTTGGACAAAAAAAATCGCAATATATCGCCTTGCTTACAGTATCGCAATATATCGGGATATATCGTATCGTGAGTTGTGACCCCTCTGTCATGATATGTATCGTATCGCCAAATTCTTGCCAATACACAGCCCTACTATTTAATCAGGAATAATTGTGCCATAAAATATTACGAGCTTAAAAATAAGATATCTTGATCAGTTTGAGGGAATCTCTTCAAAGGTATCAAACTCTGACAGGTGAAATAAGTTTAGTTCTTTCTGAAGCAGTGTTCAAACACATGCCTGAAACGAGAATGCATTACTGTCCCAGTTATGTCTTCATCAAACATGGATCTGCTCCCGGTGATGTGTGTGTTTGTGTGTGCGCGTACCTGAGGTGTGTAGTAGCGATTGGTATACGTCAGGTCAATGATCAGACCAAGCGCTTGCTTCTCTTTGCTCAGAGCATCCAGCAGCTCCCAGGGGCCGAACACGTCTGAGCCCGGGAGCCTACATGTCAACGACTGAGCAGAAACAAACAGTTACATTCATTAGTAAAAAATAAATAAAATAAACCCACTGTTGTCGACAAACAGCCGTTCAACACGCTGCTGACCTGTTTCAGAGGCACTTTGAAGGCAATGAAGCGAGTCCCTTGGAGCCTTTTCCCTACAGCAACGTAGTCCAGCCATCTGTTAGACAGAGAGTTGGAAACTTTTACTTACTTTCTTATTAAATCTGAAAAGGCAGCATCACAACAAAAACTTTTAGTGAGATTTTCAAAGAATAAAATGTGTTTATCAGAATCCTTCCTGCTGAAAACTGTCATTTACTTCCTTCTGTTCAGAAACTTCAGAGCAAACATTTGGGTGTTAAAAGTGACCACCACCTTTAAAGCTTCAACATCACTCCAACCTGTCACCTTGTGTGGAGTTAACTCAAGAAGAAAGTCTCTGATCAGATTTTCACAACAGCAAATTTATGGCCTCCCTGTCTTTATCTGAATCAAACTTCAACCTACAGAAGAGTGAAGTCAAAATGTTTGTCTTCTTGCTTTCCGCTCCAACATATTCTCATCAGAAGTTACAGAATTCATTTCACAAAGTAGGAAACGGAAATGATCACGAGATCTTAAAGAGGTAAACGCAACCTGAAATGAACATGTTTAACAAAAGCTAAATCAAAATTCTAAAGCATTGTGTGGAAGAACCACTTTTAATTTTCCATCTTCGTCTTGTATCGATTACTCATAGGTCAGAGACGACAACAGGCCCCCGGAGAGAAACATCCCTCACTCCAGAGACACTTTCCAGCTCGTGCTGGGGGACCCTGAATGAAGCATTCAGCCATGACAGTTATTTTGTCTTCTGTATTTTGGATACACCCCCCCCCCCCCCCCCCCCCCCACCGCCCATGTTTACATCATCTCGCTTTCTGATTGGCTACACGTCACATTCAACTGGCTGCGTGCTTGTTTGTGCCCAAGGGAACTCCACACATGCTGGGACATTGGTCCAAGACAACATGTTGAATATCCCTGAACTGAGGTCAGAGTGGTCCCAACATCATTCCTAGCAGATTAGATCACTCTTAACACACCACACACGGCAGGAATATCAGTTAAAATAACCTTTAGAGCCATCACAATAATTTGAGCGTCAATAAGATTGTCGGATGGAAAAAAAATCAGGCCCAAAATTGGCAGTTATCTTGCTGTGTGAACCAGACATTAGACTGAGCCCAGCCATCTACAAAGGAAGCTCATTTTGGCTGCTTGTATCAGGGATTTTGTTTGTTTGGTGGTCAAATATCATGATCATAGGTTAGGGTTGGAACGTAGACAGAACAGACTAGAGCTTTGCATTTTGACTCAGCTCTTTCTTCACCACAATTGACCAAAGCAACACCCTCACTACCGAGGATGAGGCCCCGATCTTTTCATCTATCTCCAGGTCAATCATACCACAACCAAACTTCTCCACTTGAAGCAGAGTCCCCCCATCCCAACCTAGAAAGGGTATTCCTCCCTCTCTTAATTCAATTATATCAGCAAAACCTCAGGTTAGTCGTCAAGTACAGTGGGAGAGGGGTGATGATTTGGTTTCTTTTGTAGCCACAATACCCCAATACCTTGCTGATTCGACAAAGACCTCTTCTGTTTATCAAAGTAGTCTACATGGAAACGTGAGGCCATCTGTCCCACAGCTGAGGGTCAAATGAAACTGGATTTAAAAAAAATCCCAAAAACAGCAGAAAATCTACAACATTAGGACTGAACATGAAAATAATCAAAATATTGCGACGATCACAACCTCAACCTGACTGAAACCTGGGAACCTGAGTCCTTGTTTACCTGAAACTGTCCTGATAGATTAGATTAGAGACACACCTTTATTGTCATCGTACAGAGCACAATGAAATTACAGTTCTGATAAGGACCAGATGTTTTATAGTGTGCTGATACATTAGAGATGTGCTCACTTTCAGTTTTAAAATGACTATAAAACATTTTCCAATCAACAGAAATGATCTACTCGTTGATCCGTTTCTCAACTGAGCAAATGTAATTCAAACTAATTCTTCGGTGTTTACATATTATTTGCATAATTTATTGGTAGAATAGACATTTCCTCAGTGAAAAAAACCGTTCATTTTCCTTTAGGTTTATTTTTAAAGGTTTTGTGTTTACTTTCTCTGCTTTCATAGTGTTCATACAGCTCTTACCTGTCTGGGATGTCGTTCTTCTTCTTCCTGTACCTTGACATTTTTACAGCTCTTCTGTTTCTTTGAGACTAACTAAAACACAACTAGAAAACTACCTAAAAACGAACAAACCTAACTTTCCACACAGACAAACTGAGTTAGTCGGTGTTCTTGTACACGTTAGCTCCTATAAAACCTTGGCTTTTACTTACAAAAACATACTAAAATACCCACTAAAGCTTCGAAACACGTTAAAAACCATTTCCAACTATTTATGTTCCACGCTTTTCATTTTGTTTACAATCTTGAGTGAAACTGTTCCCGAACGGACCGGAACCGGGAGAAACCACTACCAGGCGCACACAGATGACGTCACATTGACAACTCCTTACTGCCATCTGGCGGTGGAGGGTGTGTATTGCAGCAACGCACTGCACTGGATGTGGTTACAGCTGATGTAAAACGTAGGCCCGTGGGCCAAATCTGGCCCTCTTTAACATGTTATCTGGCCCCAAAGATAATACTTTAGATGTAAAATAGTTTTATGGTTTCTCTTTTTGTCGCTGACCTCTTAACAGATGGCCAACTTTTTAAATGATGCAGTTTTCCCATAGTCTGGTCTTAGTGAGGAAAGTGCAACAAATAAACTACTTCAGTTATCGTTTTTCTGTTTTCTCCCTCTTAAAAGTTAAATAATTAAATTTTTGTGAGATTTTTCCTTTTATAACTGATTTGCTGGATTGTGATAAAACGCATCTCCACAAAATAAAAAACAAAAAAAGTTACCGTTGAGCGTAAGGTGTAAGAAATGTTGAAGTTGTGTTTCTAAATTTAATCTTTTTAATTATCTGTTAGGTTATGTATGTTCTAAATGCTACATAAAATATAGCTTGGAAAAGGTCATTTGTATTTCTACAGTATTTAGAATAATTTGTTCTATAACATTTTTGCAATAAATATTAACAGATATTGGGTGTCGGCCTGGACCCCATTTTGAATTTAGGCCCCCTTTTGCAAGTGAGTTGGTCACCCCTGCTTTAAAGGGAGTGTGCATTTGAAAACTAAAATAAAATAAAGTGGTGTTAACCACTTCACAATGTGACTTAGATTTATGAAAAATAAAACAGCAAAGAAAAATAATCCGTAATGAATCTGAAACTAAAACTGGAGACATATTTTACCTCCTAGTTCTAATCGTCCTTATGGTAGTTTTTTTTAATCAAGTGAGGGATTTTTTTAAAAAAATTCATCTTTCTATCAAATAATACACTAATTTAGCCAATAACTAATGGATGGACTGGTTCCTCTGCTTCATTCAGGCAGGATCTTTCTAATTTTGGCAACACTGCATAAGTAGAAAGAGAGTTACAACTGCAGCATATTATGGAGAACCAGAAGATCAACCTGTTTAGTAAATATCAATGCAACTGTCTGTCACTTAGATCATTCTTCAGGTCTCTACGCATTTTATTTTCAGTCACTGTGTGAATTTATTATGTTATTTGTGTGGATCTTGAGCCCAGTGGTTGCAGTTTCCACTCAGGTGTTCTATTCAGGAAGTGCAGGATTCCTTGTTTCATTTTGAGTCGACACTAATAATAAGCTTCTGAAAACTGATTGCTCACATATTTTGACAGATGAGTCATGAGTTCTCATCGGAATTAGACGGGATGTGGTTTATTATATACATACAAAACTGAAAACTATACTTAACATGTTTTAAAAATGTAATCTTGCCATGGAAATCTATTTTTTGCGTACAATGCATCTGTGGAAAACACACTGGAAGTGTATCTTGAGCAGGGGTGGGCAATCCTGGTCCTTGAAGGGGCTATTACTTGTTTCCCTGTTCCAACACACCTGAATCAGTGATTCAGTGATTGAATTAATCCTATCACCCATTCGTTCAACTCAGGCTTGTTGGAGCAACCTGTAAAACATGCAGGATCAGGACCAGGACTAGGCACCTCTGATCTAGAGGAAGGTGCGTTATTTCCCAGAACAGGTGTAAAAGATAACGTTGCAACAGTGTGACTCCTCAGCATGTGATCATGCATTACAATCTGACAGGAAATGCTGTGCACGGAATGTTTATCAAGAGAGGTGTGTTTATGGCTTTTTTGCTCAGCAAAGAGTACTTAGAGTCAAAAGAGTGATGCAGAGAGTTGAACTCTAACAGAGACACGTACAGCACAGACACTTTTAAAGACACAGACCTCACCTGCATCAGTAAAGAGAACCCACGGAGGGGATGGGGGAGTGCAACAGGGCTGTGGTGATGTCTGTGTTCTCCTTTGACTACGGACAACTGGGGAAAAGGAATGGAGCCAAGAGGGACGAGAAGAAACTCCACAGAACCCTCAGCAAACTGGGTTTTAAAGTAGAAGTGCACAATGACCTGAGCAGCCAGGAGATCTACGAGCTCTTTCTCCAAGGTAATAAACCAACACTTCTTATTCTGGAAACACCGCTGCTTGTTGCTGAGCCACACGATTACTGCGCATTGGAAAAATGTGCACATTTGATTGTCACCTTTCAGTGATCTGTATTTTTTTTAATTCCTAGACCTGATGAGGGTTTGAAGTTATACATGTGTATGTGTATATGTATACGTATATATGAATGTGTGTATGTGTACACATATAAATGTGTATATATTTATTTTTTTATTCTTTTTTTTGTTAAATGGGTCAGATCCTATAAGATTATTTTCTTCTTCTGTTTCCTTTAATTTTGAGACTGCCTTTCCTTTTTTGTTGTACTGAAATTTTTGTTTTTAAATCGAAATGAATAAAACTATTAAAATCTAAAATCTAATAGTTGACTTATTTAGCCAAGGGCCCAAAGAACTTCACATAATCTCACAGGGGACAATAAATCATTGAAATGACAAAATCATCTAAAAACAAAATAAATTAGGGTTAGTATGTTTCAAAATCCTAAAGGCTTCCTCGAATTAACCAAACACTTATTAGATCAGTGGTTCCCAAATCATTTAACAAATCGCCTCATCACATTTTTGTCATCCATTATGACCGACCAACTTCTTTTAGACGTTCCTAAATTCAAAATTAAATCCAAAGGTGACCAGGCTTTTGCATTTGCTGCTTCAATATTGTGGAACATTCTCTTCATATTGGGTCTGCAGAGACTGTTGAGGCTTTTAAATCTTTGGCTTTTGATTGAGACAGAGTTTAAGGTTCATTTAGAGCTGATGTCTTTTTTCTTATAGCATGTTTCTGTAGTTTATTTTTCTTTTGTTTTAATGATGCAAGTCTCTGACTGAACTTTGAATAACTTTGGTCAGCTTTTGTTGTTTTTAATGTGCTACAAATAGAAATTTGACATTGGCTACTGGTTTTGTTTATTTGTAAGAGTGTACGCTTAAATATTGTGATTATTTTAAAGTTAATTTGATTTTAGATCTTCTGATGACCCCTAACTGGATGTTTCACAGCCCACAGTGAGGTCCCGACTCCAACATTGTGAACCAATGCATTAAGAAAGCTTCTGTATGACTGTCCTTGACCGTCATTTATGATCTTTTCTATTTGAAAAGACAGTTTGGTTTTGGGGTTGTAACTCAGTTTGTTGCCATATTGACTTGAAAATGCAGCCATCAGCCAACAAACTGTGCACTAAATAAGCTGGCACATCACCCTGTATAATTATTAATCATTTTGGACTTGTACCGAGTGCAAAGCTGATAACGCAATCTTTCTGTAAGAGCAATCTGTGTCTGGAAAAACAACATTAGAGATATTTTTTATTGGTTTCTTTTCCTTTACAGAAGCAAACAAAAGTATCAAAGGACAAAGAGAGGAAGTAATATAATGTTCAAAGAAATTGAAGACTAACTACTTTTCAAAGATGTATCAATCAGGCATTAATCAAATTAGCATGAGTTACACGATTTATGTCGGGATTTGTGTGGGTATTATTGCCCACAGATGTCCAATGTCCTGTTTACAGTTATTTTTAACCTGAACCCAGAGCAGTGCTTGTTTAAATTATTGTCAAATTTAAGACACTTGAGTCAAACCTCACTCTCAAAATTACAGGTTATTTTTGTCAAAAATTCACATTGTTGAAATTAATATTTAACTCATTATAAAGTGGAGTTCTTTAGAAAAGTTGTAAATATCTTACCAGTTGAAGGTAACTCTCTAAGTGACCTTAGTCTGGAGTTTAAATCAAGCTAACAGCTAATCTAAACACAGCTACCGACTCCAATTCTCAAATTTTCTAAGTGTTTTATGTCAACATTAATTTTGAAACTTTTACCATTCCAGAAATTTTGCATCAAAAAATTAATTTTATCAGAAATATTTAGTAATTTAAAGAAATAGCAGCAGCAGTAGCTAGCAAAACATCACCACATCATTACATTCATACAAGAGTACAAGTAGTAAAAAAAACCACTTAGCTAAAAGCCTGTTTGTAAAAGATTGACAGCGATGTAAAAGTTTAAAAACAGTATTTCCATGAACCGCCATGCAAAGTTCAGGATTTGAGTTGCTTTAAGATGCTAAAATCTGCTTTGGATCTTATGGATGTGCCAAGGCAAGTTTTACTGTCTTAAAACTCCAGTTTAGCTAATTGTATGTAATTAATCTTATAATACAAACCTTGACAGCAATGTTGAGATTTATGAAATTGTGTTTGCATAAACTGACATTATACTTTGGAGAATAGAGCAGTTTTTCATCAGAAATCCACTTTAATTTTGACTGCATTCAGACTGACCATTAGCTCGTCAGTTCTGCTTAACATCACTCAATTTTTATAATTTGAAGCTGTTCCAAAAGCTACATACAACATACTAACACTCCCATAAAACCTCACATCAAAACGTTCCTTTAAGGCAGACATCTGCAGGTGACAGTTTGTCATAACTCACATTTTTTTGCACAACTTTCCATCTGCCTGTCATGAAGCTCACTGAATATTTTTGTGCTGCTTTGTCTTTTACATAGTAGAAATGCATTCACTCAAACTAAGTGGATTAGGATGGGAAATATTTTTCTTAGTCACTATTTTTTTTCAGCGCAGTTTGAGTTGTACAATTATGCAAAAACTCAGCTGTTTGCAACACAAAGAATAGTGCTTTTCATGGTTTTAAGAAAAAATGCTAAATAACAATATATAAAGGTAATCACCCCATGATGGCAAGCCCTAAAGTCTCAACATCTCTGGGTAGATGAAGATCTAGATCTCACCTTCTCCACAATCAGAGTTGACACGTTCGTGTTGTGTATTTTAGCTGTTATGTTACATACATTACATAACCGTTTCATTGTTTCTTAGATTCAGGATAGAGAGCGAACATTATTTGGGAGGAGCTGTTTATCAGTAATACATTAAACTTTACAGTCTCATGGTCATAATTAGTGACTTTAGAAATCAAAACTAATGGACAGGAGACAAGAAAAACAAACAATTCCTCACTGAAGCTTCTGCTTTTATTAAACACACACCCCAACTGATGTGTTCAAATAAAATGTCAAACAGAAAATGTGCAGTGAGTGCATGTGTAATGGAACTAATACTTTTATGTTTAAGCAAGTAATTCATGACATCCTTTAATGACCTAGGTTTTCATGACATGCTGTTCATCTGCAGATAGAATGATTAAAGTCAGAACAAGATTTGCTAACAACAGTCATTCTTGGATATCACTTGTGTTTATCTTTGTGTTTTCCATTGACCTTGTATCAAATTTTGCTAAGATGACATAATGATGTTTGTTAACATATATATGAGGCCTCTCGAGACACAGTGTTCAACAGTAGTGTGGAGAGACAGTGACAGAGAGAGGCAGAGGCACAGAGACAGGCCAGGTTGTTCTCTGTGTTTCCTGTTGTTGCAATAAAACTCAGCTGATCATCTCGCAGAGTACCTTCATTTCTTGGACCACATATTTCTGTCTTTGTTAAAGAAATATTGCCATAACAGTTTGGCATTGTCGAAAGGATACCACTAGGAGATCGACGGACCAAGGCCACATTGCAGGTGGACAGATATGAGTGAGCAAGGACTGGACTGCTCAGGACCGTGACTCCAGCTGGATGAAAAGAACCTTTTTATGGTAAATTGTTTTGACAACAGAGATACGCTGGTGATGATTGTGATGGATGATCTTRAATAAGCAAAGAACATTGAATTTTTATTTTTGGCTGTTGAAGAACCTGAGAAGATTTTTGAAACATCATCTGCTGAGAGTGAGTAAAAGCTTCAAGATGCCTCCTTACTTTTCCAAAGAGGATTTCTGCCAGCTTCTTCAAAAGGTGACCGTGTTAGAGCTCAAGATTCGTCATCTGGAAGAGATGAATGCTTTGGAGGACTCAACATGCGTTCAAATGGGTGAGAAGGCTGAGAGGAGAGATCAACATGGAGAGGAGATGGAAGCTGCTTCTGAGTGTAAAACTGTTTGGAACTCTCTTTGTGCCAGACCAAAAAATCTCTCAGGAAGGATTCAGCTCTTGGATGACAACGAATGGCCAGAGTTACAGAGAAATGCTTTTTCTCCTCCAGCAAGGAGAATAAAGCAGGGACAGGCTGTAATCAAAACACCTGATAACGGCCAGAGAAATGAAGACAGAGCAGTCTTTCTTCAAAACAGATTCATACCACTGAAAGAAACTGGTGAGTCTGATCAAAGTTCCCTATCTGATCTCAGTGAGGGATCTGAGACCAGATCCAGATCCAGCCCAAAGCCAAAACAAGTCCGAAGAGAGACTTTCAAGAATCAAGAAATGCTGATCATCACAGATAAAATGGTGAATGAGATCAGAGGCTTCTGGAACAAGAAAAAGGTCAAAGTTCTGAGTTTTGCTGATAAAGTGTCTGACCTCACAGAGAAGATTCTGCAAATAACAGCAGAATATCCAACTTTGAAGACCCTCATCATTCATACAGGAAGTGATGAAGTGATGAACCGACAGTCAGAAATCCTGAAGAAGGATTTTATTCTGCTGCTGAATGCAGTTATAAATCTCAACATGGATGTGTTCCTCAGTGGGCCCGTTCCYRCAGCMAGAGGAGGAGCTGAGAGGTTCAGCAGACTGTTGGCTCTTAATGGCTTTTTGGAAAAGTCCTGTGTTGACCACTCTGTGAGTTTTGTGGATAACTTTGATCTCTTCTGGGAAAGAAAACACCTCTTCAAGTCTGATGGAATGACTCTGAATCAAACTGGAGCACAACTTCTGGCTTCCAACATGAAATATTTCCTGAACAAAGTTCCGGTTGGAAACAAACAGGAAAAACCACAACAGCTGACGTCTGAAGGACAGCTGGAGAAAAATGAGATATAAGTGGAACACAGCGTGCCGGTTACTGATAAGAATACTGCTTCAGAATCAGAACAAGAGAGAGAGGAGTTACTTCGAGCTGCAGAACCGGAAGAACAACTGGATTCATCAGCATCACAAACAGATGATCTCTTGGACTCTGAGACCCCAACAGTACAGCAAGTGGAATGCCCCCTCCTGGATTTTACTAACAACATGAAAGAACCTGGCGAGATTAATATCAAACAAACGCCATGCCCAGATCCTGCTAACTCTCATCTTCCAGCCCAAGGAACTACACCAAGATCTACAAAAAGTCGCAGAGCCCCACCACCACCTCTGACCCTTCGACACATCAAAACAGACAATCCTGTTTATGTTCAAGACGATCCAAAGATTTTTGTGTGATAACTATGTTTTGGGGTTAGTAATTACTGTGGGAGGAATGAAAATTGAATTACTGGGGTTGGGATTTTAGAAAAGTACAAATACTTAGGTTTATGTTGACATGTTTTTTTTTTTTTTGAAATACATTAAAGTGTTTTTTTATTGATCATTTAATTGGTGATTTAATGATCAAATGGGGGAGATGTAATGGAACTAATACTTTCATGTTTAAGCAAGTAATTCATGACAWCCTTTAATGACCTAGGTTTTCATGACATGCTGTTCATCTGCAGATAGAATGATTCAAGTCAGAACAAGATTTGCTAACAACAGTCATTCTTAGATATCACTTGTGTTTATCTTTGTGTTTTCCATTGACCTTGTATCAAATTTTGCTAAGATGACATAATGGTGTTTGTTAATATATTTATGAGGCCTCTCGAGACACAGTGTTCAACAGTAGTGTGGAGAGACAGTGACAGAGAGAAGCAGAGGCACAGAGACTGGCCAGGTTGTTCTCTGTGTTTCCTGTTGTTGCAATAAAACTCAGCTGATCATCTCACAGAGTACCTTCATTTCTTAGACCTTGTATTTCTGTCTTTGTTAAATAAATTTTGCCATAACAGCATGAATAGCTGAAACTCTACATTATGGCCAGTCACCTGCTTCTTGTTGCTTGACTTGCTGTGTGTTTTAGTAATGATGGTATGTCTGTGGTTGTGTCTCTGCTGCAGAGAGTGTGCGGCCTGTGAAGGACTGCTTTCTGGCCGTCCTCTCGTCTCACGGGACGGAGGGCTGTGTGTTTGGAGCCGATGGGAAGCCAGTCCTGCTGTCTCGTATCTTCAGATGTTTTGACAATGATTACATGGAGAAAAAGACCAAAGTGTTTTTGATACAGGTACAGTGATTGGGGTTTTGAGATTTGTACGCACATGACTTACCTTTTGTTCGGTTTGAGATGTGATCCTCAGGGTACTCTGTCTCTCTCTACAGGCGTGTCGAGGACAGGCTCTGGATGATGGACTGGAAGTGGATTCAGCTACAGACTCTACAGAGAGCAGCTGCTTTTCACAGTATTCTTCTGTCCCAGTGGATACAGCTGTGATGTACACCACAGCACCAGGTAAACCACCTGACAAACCCCAAGAATCTTCTGATATATCTGTATAATTCCTCAACTACAACAAACAAAACACCAGTGAAGATTAGATAAAAGTATTGACACACATGGTCAAATCTACTCAACCACAAGTAAAGTTAATTGGTCAAAAACCTACTCAAGTTAAAGTACTGAAGTACTTACTTTTGAAAATACTCAAGTATTCAAAAGTACATGCATTAAAAAATACTCAAGTATTCAAAACTACAAGCTAAAATGTCAAATATCAGTACATTGCCATATCGTTTTCAGAGTGATTTTACAGATCTTTATAACTCAGAAACCACCTGATGTATCGACACAGAACCTCTGCTAAAAAATCACCACCTGTAAAGACTTCAGCATAAAAATACAATAAAGTGAGTGGTTCATTTTTAAATGCAGAAATGTAGTTTATCTGCAGTGAACACAGAAGACATAGGAACTATTTTTCAGCCCAAAAATCTCAAACATCAATACGGCCATGCTGGTTTCCCTGCTTGAGTTTCTTCAATCGTCTCCATTGCTGGGTTCTGTTTGAAATGAAGGTAGAGCTCAGCTTGCAACCGTTAATGAAGATGATGTAATTCCAAATCCATCCCAGGTGTGAGCTATGACTGTGACTGGTTCCCCTTGTAAGGAATATGGTGTGGCATTTCAAGAAAGAAAAACAGCAACAGTGGATTATAAAGCTATGCTCAACCAAAAGTAACAAGTAACTAAAAGAAATGTAGTGGAGTAAAAAGTACAATATTTGTCTTTGAAATGTAGTGGAGTGAAAGTCTTAAGTACCCCAAAAAGTAATTACTCAAGTAAAGTAAAGATACTCAAAAAATGTACTTAAGTACGGTACTCAAGGAAATGTACACCCCTACTATCCACCTCTGTCCATACGTGAGGGTTGGAACAAAGACAGACCACAACTGACCGAAGCAACGCCCTCGTTACTGAGGATGAGGCCCCAATCCATTGAGCTTCTCCTACTCTATCCTATCATTACTCGCAAACAAGACACCCAGGTACTCAATCTCCTCCACTTGAGGCAGACTCCACACCTCAATCTGTAGGGGGAATTCCACAATCTCTGGTGAAGAAATATGGCCTCAGATTTATGGCTTCTACACACTCCAACTGAAGCCAAACTGTCAACACGCTGTCAGGTGGTTGTTCCATGTTCGTTTTCGTGAAACACCTTTCATAGACACTGCGATGAGCTCCTGGGATCCCGCTGTGGGATCCATCTTTGCACAGGGTTTCGTCACACTTGTACGACCGATTATTGCTTCTGGTAGGAAACAGTATTTGAATGCATGGATTAGTTTGTATTATTGATAATAGTTTACCTAATTACAGAGAGCAACAACTGGTATTTTTACCGAGTTTTTGAGTTGCAGCTGGAACCATTCAAGTTGAATGAGACAACATTCCCAAATAGTTCCAACTTCCGAGGCAAATGGGATGCAGCGTAATTGCTGGATGTTCATGGTGTCCATTACTTTTACAATAATTCTGGAATCTGGAATTCACTTAAAGACAATTTGAATGATCACTAAATCCACAACAGATACATAGAACAACTGAGGTTTTCTATACCGCTGCAATTACCCATCAAACCCTGTAGAGCAGTTGAACCTAATGAGTGCTTAATTAGTAGGCTTCCTCAGTCAATGCACCAAAGTGACCACTAAGCTCCTAATGAAAAGTACAAGTTTTGACATGTTTGACTTATGAGAGAGAAAAAGTCCAAAGTTTCTTGAGTTCAGAATTTTAAAAAGCACATTTGGGATTATTGGTAATATTGTAATTGATTGCTTTACCATCGATTTTTATTTTATTTTATTTTTTTCTCTTCCAGGATACGGTGCTTTCATGAGCCCCTCTGGCTCAATCTTCCTCCAGACTTTCTGCTCTTTATTAGAAGATGAGGGCCATCAAAACCTGGAGCTGACCCGCTTAATGACACGACTCGCCCACAGGATTGCCTACACCTTCCAGGCCAAAGGTCAAGAGTTTGAAGGAAAGAAAGAGATGCCGTGTCTAGTAACACGGCTGACCAGAGAAGTGTTTCCTTTCGCCAAGTCGGGGAAAGACAGCGGGGCCACAGGAATGTCTGCCACATGAAAGATGCTTGGCTCCCTTTTCAAACGTCTTTAAAAAGTACACTGAATTACAGTGCGAACATTGTACCAGGAAATATAGGTACTGGAAAACAGTAGCCTAACTACTGTATGTTCCCCAGTACAAAGCCAGCAAAGTAAATTCAGTACTTTTATCATTTGCATTAAAAGTCACTCTGTCTGTTATCCATAAAAAAGCAAAGGAGGAGTGATTGTCTCTGTGGTTAAGGAAGAAAAAAAGATATTATGGGTAAATAAAGCTCTTTACTGTCTCGTTCAAAAACTTTGGATCATTTGTTAACGTCACATCTCTAGTATTCTTCCTACACAGAGCTGTGAAGAGGAAAGCTGATATTTTCAAAAACACTTTCCAATGTCTTATTATTATTATTATTATTATTATTATTGTTGTTGTTATTTACTTTTTTGTGTGGACTCAAAACAGAGCTCTCCAGAAATGACATGGCAGACTTAACAACAGAAGCGCAAATAAATAAAACTTTCTTTCAAACCAAAGCATAAAGCTACAAAACACCAGGATTACAAGGAGACCACTGAGGAGTACTGGTCCATACTTATGTTCCAGTGCCTACAGTTCTACCAATGTTAAAAATGAAAGACCCGAACTCTTGACTAACTCAGTGTCTGATAGATATTTTTAAACTTTATCATTTTTTATATTTGATCCTATTGCATTAATCAACTGTATTAAATGTCTTTCTTGCTGCCATAATTTTCATCTCTGCAGCTTTGAGCTGCACTAACTGATAAGAAGCAACCCTGTGATTGGTCAAGATGTTTCTCTCTGTGCTCTGCTTGTAATAAATTGTGCAGCTTTTCCCAGCCAAGGTCAGAACTTTCTGCTGAGACCCGTCTTTTAGCGTCCTCAGAAACTTCTCACTCTTTGCGAAGAGAAAACTGTTTTAAACTGAATACTTATGTCTGTGTCTGGTTCATTTCTTTTTAAAAGGTAATTTAATGTCCACTCTGACAATGTCTGTTAATACAAATGATAAAAATACTGAATTCTAGAGTGGGCATGAGCAAACTTTACAGTTAAATTACACTCAATCACAGGATATTCAGAGGTAATATCCTGGATAAAATCAAGTGTCTTTAATAAGTTTGACTAAGTCATAAGGAAAACAAGTGAAAGATAAATGATTCATTACCAATTTTCAATGATCAATAACGTGTTTACCCTATGACTTGGTAAGTCCAACTTATCAAAGACACTTTGTGTTACCTTGAATGTTACCTACCTCACATCGTAACACTTGGGCCTAACAGTTTACTGTAACCAAAAAAATCTTTGTTTCTTGGAAACAGAAGGATCATGGGAACATGGGTGTGTACCGGAGAACGTGGTACCAGGAAACATAACAATGGCTCCGAGGAGTCCTGAATGTGCTGTAAGAATACGTAACGTTTCACTGAAGAAAGATACAAACTGATGGGTTATACAGGCCTGGGCTGATGAATGCAGTCGAAACACCAGGCCTGATGAGTAAGGTTGGGTAAAATTGTAATGTGTGCAATTAATTGTCACAAGTTAATAACTGCCACGTTGCAAGTACTGCAACTACTGTCATGTGATGATGTATCAAGCGCACATGTGAGCCCAGTGACAGAAGGCGGTATGGAGCAGCTAATGCTAACCCTAACCTAGGCAAAAAAATTAATCACAATTAATTGTGGCATTTAGCTGATAATGATCAATATAACAATTTATGACATTTGCACAGTTAGACTTTCACATTTGACATGTTTCCGTCTCTCCGTCCGTTGTCTTCCAGTTATCCACGGTTGGGTCGCGGGGGCAGCAGCTTATATGTTTTTGACTTTAAATCAGTTATCCTGTGTCTAAAATTATACTTACAAATCATCAAATTAACTCCTTCATTTTAACGCCCATGGCCTGCCCTACATTATCTTCTTCAGTGCTTAACTTGCAGTTCGTAAGGGACAGATTGACTGAGCGCATTGTGCATTTTCAGTACATTTGTTTCCACCATTTGTGGAGGAGAGTTTGTTGCCTCGGTCCGGATCTTCTGGTTTCTGGTGATCTTTCAGGTGAAAAACAAGTAGGGTTAGTGTTAGCTGCTTCGCACAGACTCCCGCCAATGGGCTTGATAGTGCAACGCACACAAAAATACGACATCATCACATGGCACAAATTACAGTAAATGCAATGTGGCAAAATATTAACTGTTGACAGATAATCTGACAATTGCATACGATTTTGCCCAACCTTAACACAAACGTATGTATAAATTAGTTTTATTGTTATTTTACGTTGTGATAGCAAAATGTCCTCAATGTGTAATGTTGCTAGATAGAATGATTGCAGAGTACTATGGGGTGCCGTTTGTAAAGTTACACAGTCAAAAATTACCACCAATATTTTTGTTTTATTTAGCCTTTTATAATAAAAAAGAACAGATTTATTTTTCAAAATCAGTTTTTCACCATACGATTCATACTTTTATAAATGTCATAGTTTAGAAACTAAATATTTAACTTACAAATTAAATATTTAGTTAACAAGCTAAATATTTAACTTGTGACTTAAATATTTAGTTTTGAGCTAAATATTTAGCTTGAAACTTAAATATTTAGCTATCTACCTAAATATTTAGCTAGCCATCTAAATATTTAGCTTGCAACTTAAATATTTAGCTAGCCACCTAATTATTTAACTTAAATATGCCTAATGTAAAACAATTTTAAAGCCTTTAGTTGATTAGTTTAATCAAAATGTAAAACAGTAAAATAGTTATGAGCTCCTTAAAACAACTGGAGAGCATGGTTGATAGACCACTTGACCTGACTAAAAGTGAAAGTGGATCAAAAACATGTTCAAACAAAACTGATACAACTTCATATAGATATGCATTATGGCCTGTGGATCAGTGTGCTGCAAAGGCTCTTTGTATTTTAAATAAAACTAATGGTTTGTTAGGATAACAACACTAGACTTCAGTCATAAACACCAGCCCTCATAAAACTGCCTGCACAATGGGCACCACTTCTTTAGGATGTGTGATGACAGCAAAGATAAAAAAAAAAAAAAGCTCTGTAAGTATTTTAATGGGTCATTTTTTTTAGTTTAGCAAAATCTTTGGGTTGTTAGAGGTTTTACTGAAACTATATATGAGTCAAAAAGACTGAAAACCTTTATTTTTAGGTCTGAAAAACCAAAGAAAAGTAGTTTTATTGTGTGGTTCTACCAGAAATATGCCTTGAACTTTCTAGGAATTTCAGGATATTTTACGATGAGGAATATCTCGAACTGGAAGTGTAAATTCTTGGCAACCCTGTTAACTTCTTTCCAAGCATCACACAGAGATTAAACAATCATGTAACACAACCCTGTCATGCATCTGTCATGTCAATTCTCTCCACTAGGTCAGTTTATTGCTGTAATGTAGCCATACCTTTCTTCTCACCTGTGTCCATATATGGACTTCCTTTCTCAGGTGCAGACATTATGCAACCGTCTCAGAAACAACTGAATGACCCCTGACACGTTTGTCATGAGTCAGTGTCTTCTGACTAGACAGCTGATTTGCTTTAGTTACGCTCAAGATCTTTTTTCCTCTCAATGAGTGACGAACAGGAAAAGTAGGTAACTCCAATAAATCAGCACATGAACAATCTGAATGTCTGCTCAGGGCTGAGCTGTTGGAGAATCCACTCAAGCAGTTTAGGTAAAATAAATACTACTATGTAGTAGTTTTTGTTATCGGTTAATCTTTTTCTTTCTTTTTTCTGACTGGGCAGTAGTTATCAGTTCAATGTTCTTTCAATTTAACTTTTTTATTATTTTTTTTCATTTACCACCTGCAGTAGTAAAGATCCAGCACCTGTGAGATTATTGTTTGGAAGAAGAAAACTGAAAACAGGACATTTGCATTTTTAATTCTGAATCAACTTCCAGCAGACGGTACATCAGAACTTGATGAATATCTATTAACAAAGAATCAGAACATGGATTTACACTTATAACTACCAAGTGAAAAAAGCATTTTAACCAAACAAAACCCTATGCCCACACTTTACTTTTAGTTAGAACAGTTAAACCCCTCCTAAAGAACAAAACTGAGAAAAGTGAATTTGAAAAAAAAAATGTATGAAGCTGGAGATGCAGTCAAATATTGACCAATTATGTCCTTTTCAGACTAGTTAAAAACATAAGAGATCTATAAAAAAATACAAAGAATGCTCATTTACAGCAATAAAAAGAGGTACAATTTATGTTAAGTGTTTTCTTAAAGGGATCCATGATAAGTTGTAACATTAGACTTTAGTTAATAAACATTTATTTTAACTGTAAAAATACTGTAGGCTGTTTAGTTTTTATAAGTTTTAAACTAAAAGTTTAAAAACATAATACACGGACGGGACAATTTTATTTATACGAAAAGCATTCTGGGTAAACGATGACATGTATAGGTCCTTGGTGCGAGGCTGCTAGCGAGCTATATCCACCCTGAAGGTTAATGTTGGACAGTATCTGATGATCGACTCTTTTAAATGAAACCAGAGAGTGTTGACAGAGAGGAGAAGGTAGAAATGACTCAGACTACAACTGAAAATATGGATGGAGGACAACAGAGCTGCTTCATGGAAGAAGAACCTCAGCTTAGCCTGTTAGCTTTAGCGTTAGCCCCGACGCTATCACCATGTATTAGCTCAGCGCTACACATTCTCCTCTTGTCACAGAGGTTCTCCATCCACATGACAGAGAGCTTGTTTGTCGCGCTAGCGCTGAGCTAATTCATATAAGGCAATATAGCGTCGGCGCTAGCACAAAGGCTAACAGGCTAAGCTGAGGTTCTTCTTCCATGAAGCAGCTCTGTTGTCCTCCATCTATATTTTCAGTTACAGGCTGAGTCATTTCTACCTTCTCCTCTCTGTCAATGCTCTCTGGTTTCATTTAAAAGAGTCGATCGTCAGATATTGTCCGAGATTAACCTTCAGGGTGGATATAGCTCGCTAGCAGCCTCGCACCGATGACCTAGTTGATGTCATCATTTACCCAGAATGCTTGTGTGTAAATAAAATGGCTCTGTCCATGTTAAAATATATTTTAAAAATTTACAAAACTGAACAGCCTACAGTATTTTTACAGTCTTTATTTTACAGTTAAAATATATGTTAATCAAATAAAGTCTAATGTTACAACTAATCAGGGATCCCTTTAAACTTTAATTACTCAGTAGAAGCAGCTCCTCTCAACTGACTGGTTCAAAGTGAGAGAGGCTGTGGACGAGTTAAGGCACTGTGAGAGCTCGCAGCTGATTGGTCAGAGGAGGTTGGAAGTGGGACGAGGAACGGCTGACACAGCAGCGAAGGAGGATGGGGGGATCTGATGGAGGAGGCAGCGAAAGGTGAGGAGGCAGGAGTGTCTGAGGAGGAGGAGGAGGGTGTGGAGGGACCTGGAGTGACCGTGTTGCGGCTCAGAGGCTGGGTGGTCCGGTGGGGTTTGGTGGTGAGGGACAGCGGCTGCAGCTGCTCCGCGTACGGCGAGGTGTGCCCGCCGTGGCTGTGGGACGAGTGCGTGTGCTCGGTGCGTGTCGCGGCCGGAGCGGCGGGCGAGGCCAGAGCTGTAGTGGGGGTCGCCGGGGAGTCCAGTGAGGAGGCGGGGCTGGCTTGAGACAGGTGGGTGTGCGTCAGGTGAGACACCGTGTGCGGCTGTGACAGGTGAGGACGCGTGTGGGAAGGTTGCGTGACTGAAGCGTGTGTCGGGGGGGTCTCCTCACGAGGCTTCTTCAGCTGCGGTGGCAAGTTGTCAACCGAAACCGCAGCGGCAACTGAGGAATAAAAACACAACAAATCAAAAGTTTATTACACAAACCTGAATCAAGCTGTGATAATCTTAGTGTTTATATCCAACGCACTAAAACAAAAACCCTGACATGCTTCATACAAATATCATCTCACCTTCAAACTGACCGTCGCCTTGCACTCTCTTCCTCTTCTTCTTTTTACCCTGCCCAACAGAAAACAGGTGAGTTCCACCAGTAAAACCAGCCAATGAGTCAAAGTTTTCTGACCCATCGTGGCTCTACTCACATAGTTGTCTCTGGCTGACCAGTTGGGGTACAGCTTTGAGTGAAGGAGTCTCTCTTTGCGAGCCAGTTCATAATATCTTGACTGCTCGTCTTTGGACAGCGAATGCCACTGTGGACGAATAAGAAACACTTTCACATCCACGTGGATGAACAGGTGAGAATTATGTTAAACTTTACTGTAACTTCCTGGAGTGAGTTTGAAACAATCATAAATCATTTCAGTTTTAACTAAATTACTTGCACTATTTTCAGCTCTTAGTACTGCCTGATATTTTTATTTTATTTAAATATTATTTATTTTTAAGTTGCAACTTGTACCTAAACTCAAAATAAGACTTTGCATGACCAACTTTATTATTCTTTTAATGCATCAGGATAGTTCCTGTATTTTTTTTTCAAACCCCAGCCCTATGAAATTAAACTTGGAATATTCCTTAAAAAAAGGGCAAGTACTTAAAATGTATAAATTATGTACTTATTTAAAACAGAACTAGTGCAGACAGAGAAGCGGTGTAGAAAACACCAGCTGCCTATCAGAGTAAAAAAAATGTTTGTAGTTATTTGCAAATATTCTTCTGTGTAGTTATGACTTCTTACAACAAACATCTTTGATACCAAATAAAGACTTGGTTTTTTTTTTTGGTAATGTATTTGGTACTTTTTAAAATAGTCATATTTTTTGTAAAATTCTGATTTTATTCTCAAAGCATTGTTCGTATTTATTTATTTGTAATTAATAAATAAATAAATAAATAAAATAGACTGACCCTCTGTCCCAGTATTTGATTGATGGTGGCGCTCTCTTTTACTTTACACTGAGCCACCACTTTAGGCCTCTCCTCCCTCATGTACAGCATGAAGGCATTTAGAGGCTTCTTGATGTGAGGTTTCTTTTCCTCTTCTTTTTCACGTTCTGGGTCAAATGTAGACTTTCTGCAAGAAAATGGGTCATACAGACGTCATAAAACACCTACAGAGTAAAGCTGAAAACATACTCCCTGCGAACTCCTGACGTCGGCACGGGTTGTCACAGTTTAATGACGAATATTACGTCACCGGGCTTCGCAGCGTCGTGTCGACAGCCCCTTTTGGCACAACCCGCCGGCAGAACTTTTGACCCCCCCTCCCGTGTCGACGGTAATGTGTGATTGGTCTGAAATTCGAGGGCGTGTTTGTTTGTGCTGCGCTCGGGAAAAAAAAAAGAACGACTAGCTCCCAGACTAGAAAGCAGTTTTATAAGATACTGTATAGTCAAACCGTGAAAACTTATGGCTTGTTTGTGCTTAACATGTGCTGCTGCACTCGGTAATAAATAAATAAAAAAATAAAAAAATAAATAAATAAAATAAAAAATAAAAAAAGATAGTCATACCGTGAAAAACTCACGAATGGAGATAAAACAGACATTGTGCATGGAGGAATCTGACTGATAAAAACTGTGGAGATAAACCAGAACTGATGTGGACAAATTCGTCGGGTGAGTGACGTCCTTTTTTTCTGCAATGATTGTCGGCTGTTGCAGGGGGAAATTCCATGCAGTGACGTATGGTTCAGTGGGAGGGGGGTTTCCCGAGCTCGGCGGCTCAGTGACTATGAAAAGTCTGTGCGAAAACAACTGCTGATCAACCACGTGACCGCACGTCGACCCGTCGGCATCGGAGCGAGTATGTTTCAGGCTTAAATCTGAACTTTGCTGAAACTCAGCTTCTTATTTGCTGTTTTTAATTTCCTTTAAAATGGGACAATATGATGCATTTCTCAGGGATGTAGTTCAGTTCAACACTATAATAAAGTAACTGTCACCTTCAGTTATGAAAATGTTGTTTTTATGGGTAAATCAAGAATAAACTTGACTTCACATCACAGCTTTCTCAAACATGCATGAATGAGTCAAAGCAAGACTCTGGGCATGTGTTTTTATGAGAGGATAACATCATAACATGATATAAACTCAAAGAAGTTGATTCTACATGATATCGTCCCTTTAAAAAAGGATATTGAATACGAGCAGCTCTGGAAAACATGCAACAGACACTTAACATGCAACAGCTGTTGGAAATAAAACATGAGGTGAATCATGGTTGTTGTTTTTACCCAGGCTGGTGGCTGCTGCAGTTTGCAGGCTCTTGCTTTACCACCACAGGGGGGGCTGCTGAGTGGGGAGCTGATGACTGGGGGGTTGGCACCAAACGTGGAGAGAAGCTACTTGGCACTAGACTGTATGACGAGGCACAAAAAGTACAACACAAACCCATGACACACTGACAATGATCAAAGCTACAGAGAACATAATTGTGTGTCTGTATTACAGTGTATACACAGTTTATTTGTGACCACTCACATCACAGTGAGGATTAACTCAAATTTGGTCAAAATGACCTCAGAACATTTTCAAATTCCTGCTTTTTAAGCTCCATGTTCTGAAGCCTATTTTTAGTTTATCTTATATTGAGGAATTTTTATGTCATTTTAAAGAGGAAACCTCAAACAATATTTGGATATTAAGATTACCCAGACAAAGAAAAGAAAGTTTGCTAGCTTGCAGAGAAAATGACAAAAATTTTAAGGTGTTTTCTACTCAAAATCACATTTTTGTAGCTGCAACACAAAGAAGGGCTTCAAAAAGTTCTTTCAAATTATATTTCAGTAAATATATTCACCCCAGAGACAATTCAGGACATCACAGAACTGTTGGGTCGAATGAAAATGTCCTCTAGCCCCCTTGATGTCCTGCCCTCATCTCTTTTCAAAGATATTTTTAACTGTATTGGCCCAAGAGTTGTAAAACTGATAAATTACTCCCTTGTTTCTGGTTCTGTACCCCACTGCTTCAAAACAGCTGTTGTCTGTCCTCTGTTTAAAAAGCCTAATTTAGACTCTTCTCTGCCCGAAAGCTACAGACCGATCTCCAAACTACCATTTTTATCAAAAATCCTGGAGAAGGTGGTAGCTGAACAATTGATTTGCTGTTTGGAGGAAAATGACATTATGGACATTTTTCAGTCTGGATTTCGCAAATTGCACTTYACAGAAACAGCTTTATTAAAGGTTTCAAGTGACTTGTTGATGGCAGCTGACTCTGGAAACTACACTGTGCTGGTTTTAGTGGACTTAACTTCAGCGTTTGACACTGTGGATCACTCTGTTCTTATCTACAGACTGAGAGATAATTTTGGTATTTCTGGCTCTGTTTTAAACTGGTTCACCTCTTATTTATCTGAACGGTCTTTTACTGTTTTTATGAATCAGGTTTACTCTGATTTTGCACCGCTGTCTTGTGGGGTACCCCAAGGTTCAGTTTTGGGTCCAATCCTCTTTTTATTGTACCTGTACCCTTTAGGAGGTATTTTAAAACATTACAGTAATGTGTCCTACCATCTGTATGCTGATGACATACAGTTGTACTGTTCGTTTCGACCCTCTGAGTTCTTCAAACTATCTGAACTCAGTAACTGTCTGTCAGAAGTCAAAATATGGCTGAACAACAACTACCTGCAGTTAAATGCAAACAAGACTGAAACTCTTATTATCGCCCCTGATGATAAAATCCCTGTAATCAGGCAGCACCTTGCTTTTTTAACTCCTTCAGTGAAAAATAGTCTCAGAAATCTGGGTGTTGTCTTTGATAGYTCTATGTCTTTTGACAGCCATTGTAAAACTTTAGTTCGTAACTGTTTTTATCATTCAAGGAACATTTCAAAGCTGAGATCTTTTGTGTCACAGAAGGAACTAGAGATGGTTGTTCATGCTTTTATTTCTTCTCGTTTAGATTACTGCAACAGTCTTTTTACATGTCTAAACAAATCCTCCTTGACTCGGCTTCAGTCTGTGCAGAACGCTGCAGCGAGGTTATTAACAAAGACCCACAGGAGAGCCCACATTGCACCGGTTTTAGTCTCTCTGCACTGGCTCCCTGTGCATTTGAGGAGTCATTTTAAAATTTTAGTTTTAACTTTCAGAGCACTACATGGTCAGGCCCCCAAATACATMCTGGACCTTCTGAAGCCTCTCTGTCCATCCAGGACTTTGAGGTCTTCTAATCAAATGCTGCTGGTGGTCCCTCGAACCCATTATAAAACCCGTGGAGACAAAGCTTTTCAGGTGGCCCCGAGGCTCTGGATCTCTCTCCCTCTGTCCCTTCGCTGCTCAGATTCTGCTGACTCATTTAAGAAACATCTTAAGACATTTTTATTCAGACAGGCTTTTAGTTAAGTGCTTTTTATTGTGTTTTAATTGTTGTTTTTATATCTGTGATCTGTTTTATTGTTTTTAATTATTTTTTGCTTTCTGTGAAGCACTTTGTGATGTTTGTCTGTGAAAGGTGCTATAGAAATAAAGTTTACTTACTTATTTACTTACTTCAGATATTACATTTAAACAACCCTTAGATAAGGAATTTATTATCTATATTTTGACAAAATGCAATTACTGCACATTTTAACAAAAATACTATATCTGCCTATTTGTCCACATTCCACTTTCAGACTTCATCCTTGGTTTTTGTTTTGATGTGATGGTACACACAATTTAAAATTCAACCCTACAATCCATAAAGTCTATCAGTGGAATTATACAAATGCATCTTTCATCTGGATTATTCTATTTGTATGCAGCAGCACTTCTATTTTTTAAAATTTTTAAAGACATTTTGTGTTTGACAATTTTTGATTCAATAAACCAAAAGAATCATAAAACAAATAGAAGTTTGTTTAAAAATTAAAAGAGACTTATGTCCAGGATCAGCACAGTCAGGGTTTCTAACATGTATGTTTTGTATTTTGTTATTACAAAAGTGATTTTTCCACTGTGTTTTCCCCACTTATACAACTGATTTATTTTGGAACCATTTATATTTTAAAAACTCTGAAGGCTCATTATGTTGATTGAGGGTCTCCACTTTGCTTTCTCCTTTTGCGTTCTTCTCTCTGTCCCAACAAATCAACATGGTCGCCCATATTTGACAAAAAGTAGGGCAGCCTTTTGCTGGCACTAATCAGGATTCTCTGTTTGTCGAATTCTCAACAGCCTTTGCAAAGCAAAACATGCCCCTTAAACTACACTGTCTCTTTCCACTGCCACAGTTTGCAGACATTAAAATGTGGCATTATGTTTGATAAAAAATAATAATTATGTTGCTCTGCTCCTGTGCCTTAAACATTATGGTATTACTCGAATTTCTTTAATATCAGTGATGTCATCGATGAGACAACTTGAATCCTTAAAGTAAATTTACAATGTGGATGATAATAGAAAAATAAACTGGTGTTAGAAATCATGTCAATCATCTTGAGATGCCAGTAACATTTTGGTCAATCGGGTGGAGCTGTTATGGTTCCAGATTAGTCCTGAAGCAGCAATCACAGATCTGCATCAAAAACACATCACTTGTTGTTTAACTTTCACAGCTAACACAAGTACCTTGGCATGGAGGCATTCAAAGCAAGAGCTGCAGGACTGAATCCTCCTGCAATGGGGTACATGGATTGTCCAGGTCTGCAAAAAGAAACCAAAAGATGGTCCATGATTCATTTATCCATCTACAAATTAAATAAAACATTGTAGTGTAATATTTGAGCCATTTTAACATGAATACAACTTCCGGAAGCTGTTAACTTAGCTTGGTCCAATAACTCAGTAGGTTTCAGGGGAACCAACAGAGATCTAAAATGGCTCGTTCCAAAGTTTCAGTGAGATTTTCAGAATTCAGAAATTTATTACAAAACATTTCGATTTAATCAGGGAGGAAATGAAGAGTAAAGAGTGTCAGTTTATGTGGTGCATAAAGAGCTGTTCCTCTTGTAGATGAAAGTTATCAACACACTGAAACTGACTAAATGATGGTGACATATCAGCTTGGCAAAAGTGAAAGAGAATGTTTTTTATTCATTGTGAAGTTAATGCATGTTCACTTACAGCCATCCAAGAGGGTGTGTGATCTGAGCCATGCCTCCAGGAGAGACTGGGTAGCAGGGGGTGTGGGGGCTCCTTGACATACCTGCTTCACAGGACACGTGGAGAATAAAACAAATCTTGTACGTTTGGATGTGACAAATAAGAGCGGCTGCTTACCTGTGTCAGGAGAAAAGCCAGGAGAGGCCCTCTGAGGGGAGAAGGCCTCGGGGCTGTAGGACAGCAGTGGGTGGAGGTGGGTCATGTGGGGGTGCTGCATCACAGGGACACTGTTGGACTGGAAACAAACAGATAACATCATACAATGCGACTATCAGTACAGTGATAACAATTAAAAATTATCATCTATTCATTTGATACATATTTGCATTTGGAAAACAATGTTACTGTGTAATTATATTTATTTAGATAAATACTTCTAATGTTTAATGATTTCTTATGTAAGTAAGTAAAGTTTTATTTATATAGCGCCTTTCACAGAAATAAATTCACAAGGTGCTGTACATTCAGGGAAGGGGCAGTTAAGAAATACCCATTCAAGAAGACATACAAGACAAACATGGCAGAACAGGTGAAATCGGTCATGCAGCAAACACAGTTGTGCTACCTTTAACAACAGAAAAACTAAAAACCACACAAGGGAAGATGAGGAAAAAAAACATCATTTTATAATCAACGATGTGGCACACTATGGTGTTTATCATAAACAAGAAAAACTCAACTTGTTTTTATTGTCTTTTTCCTTAGAGCCCCAAAGCTCACCAGCCAATCTAAAAATCTGTTTTGGTTTTTATAGTGCTTATTCTTAGGACACTCAGATGCTTTACATTATTCATTCACACACTGATGATTTAATACTAACAGCACAGGAACTTTGACTTAAGAATCCTACATTGTTGCTACATCTACAATTTCTTTAATATCAAATTTGTCACAAAGAGAAAAATATAAAGAAATTGCTCCAAATTAAAGGCTGTTTTGTGCCCACTCTAGACTGTACAGCGTGACCCTGTGGTTGATGCTCTACAGGGAATTTTCTCTAGACTGGCCTGGCTATGGCCATTTTAATTAAAATATAATAACTATAAAAGCTATAAACATAAAAAATATGCAGCACACACAACCTCTTGGGACAGTGAAAATGTCCTGGTTATAGCTCTGTTCTCTCATTGTTAGGAGGACTTTGAAACATGAGTAAAGACTTGCTGTCCTCTGCAGGCAGACAGCAGAAACTACAGCCGTTGTGTTCCAAGTTTGTTATATAATGATTTCGTTTTAGGATATTTCAACAAATAATATTGATATATGATTGAACTACTTTACTAGGTTTGTCTGTGAGAACGGAATGTCTATTATAAATTACTCAAGTTTACCATGATTGGACATTTTGAATCTTTGTGAAGTATTTGACTTTTTAAAGTGTGTTTCTTAAGCGTTCCTGTTTGTGACACAGTTAAACTTTGAGATATTTTACTGAGTGTGTGTGTGTTGTGTGTGTTGTGTGTGTGTGTGTGTGTGTGTGTGTGTGTGTGTGTGTGTGTG